ATACATAATTTCTTATTCTTATTTTGCCACTTTTTTTTTACACAAATTTCACAGGTTTATGTATCTTCTTTCAATTTTTTGTTTTTGACACCTACAATGTATTTGGAATCACTACCTTGAAATAGATGCATATTTTTTGGTGGTTTTAATTGAGAAATGTGTCATATATGGAAGCGGTTCCTAAGTCATGTTTGAAGGCACTAATAAAGGCACCAACATAGATCAAATTTACAAATATTCATCTTATTCTAATGTTGGCCATTATTGTTAACTTCAAGGACTAATAACCACCTTAGAAATGATAAAAAGATAGCATATTTAATAATGATTTTATAATATTTATATAATTTTTTAGAGCTATGAAGTTTTTTATCTACTTTTTTTAGTACTTGACACTAAAAGAAAAGGTGATGTCATTGATGTACGTATTTATTAAAATAATAAATAAATAAAAATAGATAAAAATATATAAAAATAAATTGGTTTGATAATATCTTTTTCAAGAAGCATCTTACATATATCCTATATGTGGGCTGGACATACAAGTGCCGTGAGGCATCTTACATGTTAGACATGTGTATTTATAAGTTGGTATTTTATTGCACATATTGGCTACTTGTCCCACCAACCACGTGATCTTTAGAAAACCACCATATAATTTTTTTTGTTAGCTAATATATGTAGAGGCAAGACTAAGACCATTGTCAATCTTATCAACTTCTCTTTTGAGTCTTCTTTTTCTTATGGCTTATAAGCCTTCTTACTTATTGAAAATAGCCATTTAATTATTATCTTCTAATCTAATTTATTCTCTTATTTACATCTTTCAGTCTTTTTTGTATGATATAATTCTATCTTGATTGAAATTCTAAGTTGTATTCTTAATACCATCCTCATAAGGCAACACATTTAATATAAGTACCATTTCTTCTATTGGCATTACTAGCTTTTGTCCATGCTTGCCCTTCAATTATATTTAAAAAATCTTCTCATGTAAGTACTAAGTACTTTATTTGCTAATATTCTATAGGCATTGCCACCAAATCCACCATCCACTTGTAATGCACTGCTAAAAAGTATGTTGAGTGTAATCCATCTCAATACTGTATATTAAAATAAACTTGATCATGTTGGATGTAATCCACCTCAATACTGTATATTAAAATAAACTTGATCATGTTGGGTATAATCCATCACGTATTCCTATGAAATTAGCCACATCTTTGTACATGTCTTTCCACCAATACTTCTTCTTCAATTTAGTAAAAGTTGCTCAAATTGTTTTATGTCCTACCTACCAATTTTCATGAAATTTCCTAATAATCCTTTGTAGAGCCTTCAATTCACATATTATCCCTTGTGATATTCCACCTTTTTATTTTGAATGCTTTCATAGATATCCATCATGCAAGAATATCCATAAGCCTTTCTATAGATATTCTTGAATTCTTGATTTGTTCAATCTTCTTGCTACTCTAAAGTGCTCAAATACATCTATTCATTCATTCTCATGCAAATCTTTTGAAAATATCTCCAATGGTGCATTCAAACACACGCCTTCTTTTATTTTTAATGCAATAGAATTAAAATTTGTGCCTACATCTTCTTCCATATCAATCATGTTTTTTTCATCATTATATCTCACCAATAATAAAATATTTGCAACTGAGTTATTTTTTCTTGCAATATGCTTGAATTTTGGATTCATGGACTTGATATATGTTATCGACTTCAACATAGCAATTTCTAGTATAGAACAATTTATAATCATATCCAATAGAAATAAACAATTTTATGTGTATGTGTATTACTTACTACTACTCTTGTGTGTATGTGTATTACTTACTACTACTCTTGTGTGTATGTGTATTACTTACTACTACTCTTGTATATTACTTACTACTACTCTTGTGTGTATGTGTATTACTTACTACTACTCTTGTATATTACTTACTACTACTCTTGTGTGTATGTGTATTACTTACTACTACTCTTGTATATTACTTACTACTACTCTTGTGTGTATGTGTATTACTTACTACTACTCTTGTGTCTTTCTAAACATTCTCAACAAAGGCAATGTGTTATCTAGGATGGCAGGTCTGGTGAAGACGGCCTGTTAATGGTTTGGCAGAATGTCCTGGGTTTTTGAATCTAAGGGTTCTTTTTAGGGCTGGCTTAACGCCTTGAGGAGGGCGAGGGCCATCTCTCTTTTTTCGCTCTTGGTCGAGCACTTTCACTCTCTGGCTTGTGGGTGGTGCCCAAAGCTCTCTCCTTCTTACAATTTTTTTTGGTTTAGGCCTTCGCTCCGAGCAAGCTCGGGGAGAATTTTGGGTTTTATTGGAACTTCTCTTCCCAATTGGGAGACCTCCAGCACCCTCTTCTTCCCTAGCCTTCTCTTTCCTGCTCCCGATCCCCCTCACTCCTGCCCTACCTTCCTCCCGATCCGTCCTTATCGATCAACGTCGCTGCCTCCCTTGTGACACACCCCGTCCAACCTCGTCGACGTTACTGATTGCCTTGCCGTCGTTGCCACAACCCTCGCCGATGTTCCTTCGGCGTCGCAGCCTTCACAGCAGCTGATCACGAACGGGATCAAGCCCGGCGCCTCGAACTTCTAAACCGGACGTCGGCTCAGCGTCGTGAATAGCAACGCACACCAGCATCCTCGGGCTGCTCATTCTCCGGCACCCTATCCCCACAGACCATCTCGCACTCACCTCCAGGCTTCAGCACCTTCATCGAACTGCCGCGCTGATTATTGCAGCACCAACGGCGACTTCCGAAGAGCAGTCAAGAAGTTGGAGATGCGCGGTCAGTGAGCAACCCTGTCGGCATTGGTGTTGGGTGTTTTGTCGTTGTTGTCCAGGTTCAAGAGTTCGCCACGCGCACTCGGCATTGCCCCGTGCGGCTTCGAGTCCTTGACGCCCTTGGTGATCACCACAATGCTCCAACTCCAGATCTCCAGTCCGCCGCAACGGCTTCTAGCACCTTTCCCTCATCCCTCCCTCTACTCACTTGCGGCATCTTACCAACTGCTCCGGCACCTCTGCTCTGTTCTTTCCTTGGTGTTGCTTCCCTTGGCTCGCTGACACTCCGTAGCATCTGCCTGTGATGTTCATTTTTTCCTTCAGAATTTCTAGGCTGTTAGATCCTCCAGTGCTCTCTTCGTACTCTCTGTTCGGATTCTTAACTTTTTTATGTTATTTTTATTTATTTATTTTTAATTGCATTACTATTTAATTTAATTTATTTTATTTCCGTTTTTTTGCTATTAGTGGTTGTTCCGTTTTCCTTGTCTTCCTTCCCTGTAGCGAGATGTTAGAGACAATTTACTTGAACTTGAATTCAGAATTGGTCCCTTCTTGCTATTTAGCACCTGCTGGTCACCTGAACGTCGTAGTTGGAAAATCAATTTTCAAATCTAACACGTTCATTGTGTAGAGTAAGAAAAATCAGTACCGTTAGGTGCAAAAATACCCAATTCGGAGTCAAAACAAGAAAGTTACTGAATCTTGAATTTCTTATTGGATTTAATTCGGGATTGACAGTAAAAAGGGAAAGGAAAGGAAGAAAGGAAGAGAAAAGAAAAGAAAGAAAGGTATAAATTATTAAATAATAATAATAGTAAAATAATAAAAGGTAAAAGATTCAAGCTGAATTTAAAAATTAACCGAGCTTAACAGCGAATCGAATTTTAAGTATATTTATGTTAAGCTATTACAACCTGGAATTGGGAGGAAGAATTTTCCGTCGGATGAAAATCGTCAGTAAGGATGACAAATGACCACAAGAATAGAATTTAATTGCAGAAATGAAAATCAACCATAGCAATGGAATTAACAATAAGGATGAGCTTCATCCTTCTCTTGCCAAGGTTTGTCTCTAATTTTGCTCTTGTTTCTTTCAAGTGTATCCTACCATCTTTGAAAAAGACAAGACCTCTGTGTAGTGTCTCCATAAAATCTTTCATATTTCCTATGTGAATGATCCATGGTATCATACCATATGCACCAATGTACCATGTCTTCCATCTGCTGTGATAGTCTTGATGCTTGCTTGCTGATAGCCGTGATGCTTGGCCTTTTAAGGATCCCTAAATCTTTAGTCCAACATTGTTGACCTTTAAGAACTCCTAAATCCTTAGTCCAATATTGTTGTTTTTATTGTGTTTTTGGGTTCTTAAGTTGTTATTTTGACTTGAGGTTGATGATGAGCTTTAATTATGGAGAGACATCTCCGTTGCATTCTGTTGATCCCTAGAAACTTTGCTCTATTCTGTGAGTTTTGTATTTGAAGTACATATTTCATGGAAGATACTGGTTGACTAAATGCAAAAGTCTCTGTACTTCAGCATGACTATAGAAACATGGTTGCAATAGAGTGTGAAAAGTATGATCTTAGTAATTCATAACCCAAATTTCCACGAGCTGCAATAACAGTACGCAGTTACATAAGAATCTCCAAGAGAATCACTGACAATTGATTAAAATCCTCGTAGGAAAGATCTACTTCTTGTAACTGAAACTTAGCACACATCAAACTTCGGATTTAGAGCCACATTACAAAGCGAAGAAGCCCAAAGTTCAGCTTGTCCAGCTGCACAATCTAGGATAAATACTAGTGCACGAGCTAGTGGAGCTCATCGCTGCAATGACATCGTCCTTGCATTTGAAAAACAATTATACTTTCAGCAGGGAAAGCTGACTGATTTAGTGATCTACATTGTCGGTACAGTCGTGAGGAATAATGGTCTTGTTACTCTGTATTGATGCACTTGTTGATAACTAGAATCTGGAGGGCACATTCAACCAAAACCGGGTCCCGATTGTGCTCCTTGAACAGGGGTCCTCTGACCCTCGTCTTCGATATGCTGTCGGCCAAGTCTGTCCTATCTAAATATTAATTTAGCGCTACAGTCCCGAGCCTTATGTTGTCGGCTTCTTTTTCTTCAAGCGGAGGTCCACTCTCCCCCTTCATCCTCCATTATCGCCAGCGGACCTAGTGCTGTGGCTTCCGACAGTGCTGTGACTTCCGACGGCGCTGTGTTTTCCACCATCGCCACCCTCTTCTTCCAGCACTTCGCCCTCCTCTCTCCCTCTACGCCATCTCTAAAGCTTTCTCGCCAGCCTTCTGCACTCCAACTCTGCCATCATCACTCTCCTTCCTCATCTGATTGTGCTGCTTGTACCAGATAAGCTTACCAGACGTAGTCGTAGATCAGAGCTAGACTAGTGTTGAGCAGGGACATAGTGAACTATTCTTTCTTACTCTAAACCGTTTATTTTTGGTTCGATTAGCAAAGTCACCTACTTCCTGCGGCACGATCTATCCGTTCTGCAGAACAGTTACTCCGTCCGCTCAGCTGTCTGTTGCGTGTTGTTGGTTGCATGTTGCTGACTCTCTCTCTCTCCCGCATCATGGGTGGGTGGGAATGTTTTAGGTCTTGTTCATTTGTGCTCATCTTACGAGTGGATGTTGTTGAGATAAGCACTCTGGAGTTCTAAATACTGCATTAGAAATTCTCAATTGACTTAGCAGTTGTTTGGACCTGTAGTAGACCCCCTCACTTGTTTGCCAACCTTCATAAGAGACGCTTTCGACGTATATAATGTCATTTTGTCGTTCAGTTTCCTGGGAATCCCCTTCTTTTGGGTACCGACAGCGCTCCATGCGAGCCTTACTCTTTGCTAGGGCTGACTAAGGTAACAAGAAAACTGGAATATTTTGTTCTCTAAATTGGTGACACACACTGTGTTCTTTTCAATCCTTCTTCATCAGATTGCGTCTTTAACCTTTAAGTACACAGATGAAGATTGGAAATCATTGAAAAACGTTCAAACACATCTAGTGAAGATGAAACCCTGATTCTCCAGAGAACTTTTTTCGTGACAGGGGGTGGGGGGCTTTGTCACGTTAAATGTTAGAACAACTTTTTGAGAGCTTCGTAAATTCGCCCCTCTTTGCTCTTTTTGATCTTGTGGTTCTGGATTACACCAAAAACAAAGAGCTCTATTCCACTGTATTCAATTTGTAATGGTTGATTTCTGGATCCGATGACATCACATGCTCGTAAAGCGATTCTCAATGGAGTGGTACTAAACATATTTAGCAACATAGATCCCTATAATATTTCTTTCTCTAACATGTTCTATGGACTGTCAGATTGTAGCCAAGCTGTTGCCGAAGGATCATCTGTCTCTCAAAATACCCAACGTCAAAAACCACTGGAATTGCTATGCCCCCTGTTCTGGATTTCTATACTCTATTTTATTTCTACACGAATAGCCTGTCATGTATTTCAGCATCCTGTAATGGCATGGAACCCTGCTTGAAATGGAGACATTGAGATATCACTTATCAACTTCTCAGACCAAGTTGTCTTGACACTTAGATATCTCGCTTTTAAGAGACATTGATGACAGGTCACATGTCTGAGACTCTGATTTGAGCAGTCGAAAATGAATGCATTCCCGATTACAGTGGGTACAATGAAGTTATTGGTGTTTGTGGTGCTGGTGTTGCAGCCTCTGGAGCAGTTTCCATTGGTAATTGTAGCACTGGATTCGCACATTGATAACGCAATTCGAAGGTAAGTCGAAGTATGTACAATCTTGATATGTTCTGGGCTCTGTGAGTAACGTCGCATGAGAGGGCCTGGTTTTAGTGGCTGTTGGGAGATCTTGAGCTCTCTGCGATTAAGACGCACACCCGTCTCTGTCTTTGCGTCAATTTAGAATGGGTTCTCAACAGAGATAATCGTCGTGCATCAAACACATTGATTTTGCTTGGATTGCATTACACGATGCCCATGTTCCTCACCAAGTGTACCTGATCATTTTGCAAACGCAAGCGGACAACTTCGTAGAATGACCGGAGAAGTGCTCTGATACTGACAGGTTGTTTGAAAAGAGAGCGGTGACATTGTTTTGGTTTGTGAGATTTCTCTTCGTCGGTGGGTTTTGAGAACCAGATGGTGGTAGCGGGTAAGGCTGTGTACAAAACTGCCAAAGCAGTTCATAAGTATCGTGCTAGAAAGCGAGCAGAACGTCGTGGCGCACCTCTTCAGCGCATCCGTCCTTTAGGTGAGTCCGAAGGTACTCGTGAGGATTTCAAGCGCGAGCACGTGCGGGAGGAGTATTCTAGGTTGATAGATTGTTGCTATACGGACCGCTCTCGTCTAAGCAAATGGAGACAAATGCAAAGAAACTGCCCCGTGACAGAGGAACAGGAAGCCAATGCAGGGATACAGCATAATTTGCTTCTAGAAGGAATGGATCCCAACAATCACTTCCATAAACTTGTCATTGCTATCAGGGGCACCACAATTGACCTGGATGACCTGAAAGCTGACATCCGTCACACATTGGAGCTTGTACACAGGAGCAACCGTTTCAAGAAATGTTTGGAGTTGATAGAGAAGCTGAAGAAGCACTATATAGAGGTATATGGAGGCAACGCCAAGGACATTGTTGTAACAGGGCATTCCCTGGGCGCGTCCATCGCCTTTCTCATCAGTTTGAGCCTCTCAGACATCTCACCTCCTCACTTGTTCAACCAACCATGCATGAGCATGGTTTCCCTTCTCGATAATGTATTACCTGGCAAGAGACTCCGAGACAGGATGCGGCAGTTATCCGTCATGAGAGCTTCGGACAAAATAAAACAAGCGTCGGATATTGCGCTGGCTGCCGGCAGAGGGGAATTATTTCAGCTTGCTGCACAGCTCATCAGGTATATCAACTTGGTGGAACGGCCTTTTGTTATGTATGTCAACTCTAACGACATCATCTGCAAGCGTATCATAAACTTTTATAAACGAAATCACGGCAGGGTGTGTGATTTACACAGGCTAGATCAGGAGACCTTTTCTCGAGCATTGAATTTGAAGGCTGAGTACTTCATGTCGCTGGTGCCCTCTGTCAATATGTTCATCAGTGACATGGCGAAAGGTAATCCTTTTGGTAGTCATGGTATTAAACAGTGGTTCTCCAGCCGTTTGAGCAATGGTCAGCACCCTGACAATGGGAGGTACGAAGAGTTTTCTCTCCGTTATGAAACGTTTCGGCTGCTTGGTCCCAGAAAACCGAAATGGGAGGAGCTTGGTTTTCTTCCCAAAGCCGTTCTCTGGCTTGGTTCTCTGCAGCGGATCAACTATGAAGGAAGACGTCGTCAGAACTTGTAGGACTGGGACGAGTATCCATACTCGACCTGGGTGAGGAGGACTTCGATGAAGAAGACTTCGAGGACTCGGACTCGGAGGACTTGGAGGATTCGGACTCGGACTCGGACGAAGATGACGATTGGGAAGAGGGAGAGGATGACTACGGAGATGAGTGCGGGGTCGAGTATGGATACTATGAGGACGAGTACGATTTACAGGACTCGGACTCGGATGAGTACGAAGACTGGGGCAGGGTGAGTCGAGGCGGGGGACGGGATGGAGCCGTGAGCAGGTCGGACCGAGGACAATATCCGTAACTTGGCCAATCCAGCCGGGGGTCTCGACGGCGGATGTAACAGCAAGTCTGAAGGCTATATGCACAAGCGTGCAAAGGCTCCTTACCGGCCCCTAGGACAGGATCACATCTTGGTCTTCTTGGAAGATCTTAACTTTGGTGCTTATCTCGTTTCGGAAAGCTGGCCGTTGCCAGGGAATGTATTCGTTGAAGTCACGTTTCAGGCCGTTCTATCTCCCGGGCTTAGTACTCTTGACGTTTTCTCAGCTTAATTTTTCTGGCATTATCCTTGTGCGGTCAGGAGGAAGGTCTTGCTAGTTTTCGGAAGGGTACCGCTGTAATTGAGTCGTCATGTTATTCATACTAAAGAAGTATCTGTCGGAGGCAGCAGTTTGAAATTTGAAGTGTTGTTCTGCCTAGAGCATGTAGTCGTTGCTGCAGCCGTCAATATCATCCTCTGTTTCTATGAATATTAATATATAATGATCTTACATATTTTCCGAACATTGTAAGGTATGTATGCACTTGTAGGCAGCCTGTGTAGCTGCTGACTCACATGTAAGATCGTGTAGGGCCTGCAGGTGTTTTGGTAGGCAGAGTGTCTTCTGTGCTCGGGCAGTTCAAGCCCAGATGTTCCCTGCTGTGGACTTGCCCGTAGCTCTTTCCTACAGGGTAGAAGGTTATTTTTTGATGTAGGGATCGGTAAACCAGGTAGCTTATGATTCTTCTACTGTACTTCACAGGGCGTACGGTAACCCTACATATTTCGAATTATCCTTGTTTTCAATTCTTTCAGATTCAGTGTATTTGAAGTTGGTTTGTGCGGTTTGCCTGTGAGGGGTGCGCCTTTGACTGTCTGTTCAGTAAAACACTCTACAACTTTACGTAAAATGCAATAGAGGTACTTGACTTCTTGTAGAAACCAGTGATCTAATATTGCCCAAAGTGTACAGGTGCTACATATTAATGCAAATGTATCGGGAGTATCCAATCTGGTGAAACAAAACTGATGAAATTATGCACTGTTTCGTGTCAATGTATGCTTATCCAAAGTTTGTGTCCGACGCTCTAAAAGGAGGTGAACTTTTTCAAGCTGCTCGTTGAGGGCTGAACCCACTTTAGCTAGCCCGAGCAAGTGCAACAAAACTGAGGGCTAAACTCAATGCTACAAATAGATGACCAGAGATTCAATCATAGTGCAAATGGGGGCTAAGATGGGGGCTGAAGTACTACAGTTTAGCCAGGGCTACCCAATTCATAGCTTTCTGTGCAACAGTTTGGAAGCCATACAAACACGTCTCATTTGTAGAAAACGTTGAAGACTTCATGAATTTTGAGCTGACTCCTGAATAAGCCATAACATCTACACACAATCACTGTGCCACAGGACATCAGACATTGTATTTCTCAGGATATCCCACTAGAGCACATCTTATTGTTTACTGTAGTCAATCCACAAGGTACATTTCAGAGAACACTCCAAATGTTAGCGTTGCAGCACTCAGTTGTTGAGCATCTCTCGGCCCCCTTGTGATGCTATGGACATCTACACCTAAGTTCAAAAATTATGCTATGAAAATTTCAGCTGAGATCATTGAACGTTTTGAAATTCTCATATTTGTGTAATATCCAAATATGGCAGCCATATCTATACAAGGTAAGATTTATCATTGGACTATTTTGAATGGCTTCAAATTGGACTATTTTGAATGGCTTCAATTTAGAAGAGTTGATGAAATTTTTCATGGTCGTTGAGAAAGATTCATTGAAGTTATAGTTACAATGGTTAGAATATATAGGTACTGAAGGTGATGAAGATTTTACGCATGATTTTTTTTTATAGATCATCAAAATATTTTGAAATGTACTAGAATTTTGGCTTCATGTGAAATAATTTATTTTTTGATCTTATATAAGGTGGAACTTGTTTTGATTTCATTTGACCTCTTTTTGTGAACATTGCTATATAAATGTTCAAATTTATCTCTATTAATATTGACTATTAGATTTCACATTCTCTATGATATGTAGGAAATAACCTACAATTGACATAGATACAACTCTAAATTACTCTATAATAGAAACACATTCTATAAAAAAAATAATAAGGAAGAAATATATGTATTCTTTAAGAAACCTTGTTTTGTATTATATACATTGTCTTGCTCATATCATTGGTGGTTGATACTTAATTTAAAAGGATGTCATTTATAAAAGCACAATCTTCTTTGGTACATCTGCAAAATTTTCAACTAGCTTCCATGTGGTTTCGTATTGAGGATACAATTCTAAATCATTCTAGAACAAGAAAATAATATTCAAAGGAGATGATAAAGAAAAATGATATATTTCTAAAGAAACTAAAATGACATATACCAAATACAATGAAGCTAGAGAGTCTTGAACAAGTTTGGAAATACAAGAAAGGCATTGAGAAGACTGATGATGGCTTTAGTCTCACCTCTATATATACTAGCTAACAAGAAACCTCTATGAAAGCTTTCTAAAGGTAGTGAGACTTGTAAGACAAACATCTAAGTTATAAGATGCTTTCAATGCAACTTCCTAAAAGTAGGGACCTTATGAAATAAGTTTTATATGCCATGTGGCAAATCTAGAAGGCTCTAAGAATCTAATCAACATATAAGAAGCTTTCTTGATATTTCTTATAAAAGATATTATTTACTTAACTTTATTTCTACCTACTTCTACTTATCTCTTTTTACTTCAATAAAATAGACATCTGTTACATTACTCCCAAGAGACAAGTTCTAAGAGGAGCGGTCAAGTTGTTGTTATAAGCCAATGAAGTCCAAGATCTATTGAATGGTGCTTGCAACAAATTCCAATCTATGCTTTGTACGAAGATGGTTGATAGGTCCTTTGAGCTATTGATAATATTTCATTCTAAGGTGAAAAGACCAACCAATTATTTGATCAATATTGAAGCCTTCATAACTACTTTTGAACAACACATATTGAATGCTATTAGGTGCAATATTCACTTTTAATATTATTACTAAGTATCGAGAGTCTCTTCCAAGATTGTGATATCTCATACACTGTCATGATGTGGGCTGTTTAATGAATGAATGTGTAGAAGCTTAGAGATATTATTAGTACTTCAAATATATAAATTGATGGAATTTTGATATTATGTTATCTTAATTTATAGAAAAATTATTTAGATTAAAGACCATGCAAAAAACCATGCAATTTAGATTGAAGACTACGTGAAAGACTACATGGTTTATCTTTAAACTTGTTCCTCTTTTATTTATATCATTTCATTGTCAATGGTTGGTCTTTGGTTTTGATGGATGTTGTCAATGAAAAGCAAATATAAGTTTTGACACATTTGTTAGATTCTTACATGGCTCCTATGTACATTCACTAATATCATATTTTTGCCGATGTACAAGATATTCTAATTTATTTTAGCACTACTTTGAATCCAAGACTTCTTCAACTTCAAACTCTTGATTGTTGTCGACTTTTGTTGGTGGAAGTGGTAATTTGCTTCTTCTTAATATATCCATTATCTTGTATAACTCAAAAAAAAATACATGGAAGATGAGATGAATATTCATTGAATTTGGTAGATATAGTCAATATGTAATTAGATTAATTTGTTTATTAATAGAAAATAGTCCAAGTCTACAATAATCTAACTTATCACAAGGGCGATTAGTTTTGTTATTATGAAAAAATAACCACACCTTATTACCAATCTGGGATTGAGGTTGCTTCTTTTGATACACATCTACATTGATCTTTTGTCATCTTTGAGCTTCATTTAATTGAACTTTCATTATTGTTCACAAATCTGCTAAATTCTTTTTAAATTTCTTACCACAAGATGATCAACTTTTAAAAAGCCAAAAATATCAAACCATAGATGATAACCATTGTTAGCATAGAATGATGATTGTTGGATAGAAGAATATTTTATATTATTATATATCATTAATGGTAAAAGAATTACCAAATTATCTTGATAGTAGTTGATAGCACATTACAAAATATAATTCCAATACTTGATTTACTCACTTTATTAGACTATCAATTTGAAGATGGATAGAAGATGATAGTTTTATATCCACCTTCACAATCTTGATAAGTATTCTCTAAAATTTGGACACAAATTCAGTCCCTATACTTGATATAATATCTCTATGGAGGCCATGGCTTGTTAAATGTCCCATTCCAAGACAAAAAGACCATCTAATTATTTGATCGCTATTGAAGCCATTGTAACTATCTTCGAACAATACGTTTTGAATGCCATTAGATGTAATATCTACCTCTAATAGTATCACTAAGCATCGAGAGTCTCTTCCAAGATTGTGGTACTATATACATTGTATCTTCCCATCTATTCAAGAAATGACATGTCTCTTCTAAGGATCTCCATCTTGATCTTGATGTCATGAAGGTTGAAACAATCTAAGTATTTCATTTGGTAGATCTACTATTGATAACTTTTGAGATGATTCTACTGGTTGTTGATACTCCATCTTATAAAAAAATTTTAAATAATGATCCTTGAACTCATTCCTTCTTATTTTATACCATCTTATTATTAATAGTTGGTATTTGATTTTGATAGATTTCATTATTGAAAAAAAAAATACTAGTTGTGGCACATTTGTGAGATTCTTAGATGGCTTCTATATGCACTCACTAATATTGTATCTACACTAATGTATCAGATATTCTAATTTATTTTGGAGTTTCCTTGAATCCAAGACTTTTTTCACCTAAAATTCCTAATTGTTATCAATTTCAATAGGAGGAGTTGGAAATTGTTTTCTTTTTGACATTTGTGGTGTTTTATATGGCTCAAAGAAAGAAACATAGAAAATAAGATGGATCTTCATTGACTTAGGCAATTGCAATCAATATGCAATTAGATTGGTTTACTTTTGGATAACAAATAGCTCAAATCTTTGATAGTCCAACTTATTACAAGGTCGACTAGTCTTGATATTATATTGTAGTAGCTATACTTTATCACCAATTTTAAATGGAAGTTATTTTTTACAAAAATATCAACATTGATCTTCTACCATTCTTGAGCTTCTTTTAATTGTATTTTTAATATTGTATGAAGCTCTAATAATCAAGTTGTTCAATTCTCTATCGTACGATTTTAAATCTTTAAAAAATCAAAAGTATCAAATTATGGATGATATCCATAATTGGCATAAAAAGGTATTTATTGGATGGAAGAATGTATTGTGTTATTATATACAAACTCAATTAATGGTAAAAGAATCATCCAATTATCTTGATGATAATTGATGGTACATTGCAGATATTGCTCTAATATTTCATTTACGCATTCAATTTGACCATTAGTTTAAAGATGAAAAGCTGAAAAGAACTTGATTTCCATTTTTGAGATCTTAAAAAATAACTCTCAAAACTTAGACGCAAATTGGGGACCTCAATCAAATATAATATCAACTAATAGTGTGTAATAGTAATAGATATTGTCAAGAAAGAATCACAATGTTTCTCTACTTATAATAGATTTTATACAAGGTACAAAATGTGCTATCTTTATTAGACAATCCACTATCACGTAGATAGAATCATAGGAACTAAAGATTAGAATATCCGTAATAAAATCCATAAAAATAGATGACCATGGTTATTTTGGAATAGATAATGGTTGGAGAAGTTTATAAGACCAATATTGAAGAATCTTTGCTTGAAAACAA